GGTGGGCTGAGCTGGCCACACACCCAAAAAAAAATAAATAAAATTAATTAATTAAAAAAATAAAATAAATTGATATAGCAAAACATTCACATTCACTTTGAAAAAAATTTAAGGCATTGCATAACACAAACTATCATTTTATTGTGTAATAGATTAAGTCTATCCTAGACTATCAGACAAAAAGATCATTAGATGACCACATAAAGGAAAACTTAATTTTTGTCTTTACTTTTGAAGGCTTTATTTATATTTTTGTTTTAAATTTTTTTTTTTTAAGTATTTGGTACAGGGTCTCACTCGTAGATCGGACTTGTAGTGATTCTCCTATTTTCAGCCTCGCAAGTGCTGGGATTATGGGCATGTGCTACCACGCCCAGTCTCAGTTGCCTTCTCATCGTGCCCCAGGGGTGGGGCCAGCATGGCACGCTGGGGGTGGAACCCCAGCTGCTGCACTCTGCCTAAGCAGGCACTTTAGTTCACTGAGCTATGATATTTCTCTTTTTATAAAGAAACTGTCCTCATCATTACTTAAAATAGTGGATAGAGGGCTGTGTTATAAATCAAAGGTAGAACACTTGCTTAGCATGTACGATGCTTTGGATTTGATGCTTAACACTGCAAAACAAATGCATATGAAATTGTATCTCTTTAAAAATATGTCTAAGAATACTTCATTTCTGTGTTATAGCTAATAAAGGATAAAATAAGGAAAAGAATGATTAGAAAAGATAAAGTTATATGCAAAAATTAATGAATTAACCGAAGCAAGCTAAAATGGTTTTCCATATTTGGAGACAAAATTACTAAGTTCATTAAAATATTTATATCAGTTAATAAGAGCCTGTTGTGTTCCAGGCAGCTACTCAGCATCTCATGTGTATTCTGCTTTATCCATGAGGAAACTCAGATTCAAATTACACAGTATGGCAGTCATACAGCTTGTTGAGTAACTGAACTAGATTTGAGCATTGGTCCCTGAATTCAGAGCCTGTATTTTTCCACGGTGCCACACTAGACTTAAAAAAACCCAGCAACAACAAAAGACAAATATTGCAAGAATAGGTTTTGAAATCTTTTCAAGTCTTTTTGTTGTTTTTGATTTTTTTTTTTTTTTTTTTTTTTTTTTT